AAATGAAAGATGATTGTACTCTTGTGTGATTGCTGTTCTCAAGAGAGGTAATAGAGGAGAATTATGATTTTGATTAGGGTTTGTTTGGTGTTATCTCTCATCCAAGTTGTAATGCCCTGAAATAATTGCTATCAACTATCCACGATATTAATTACATAACAACACATGATGAAATAATTCACTTTTATTTATCCCAATCACTTGTACAAAAGGTGATATATGCATGTATAAATTCATAAGTCTTACGTTAAACCTATAGCATGTGTACAATAAGAGATAAAATAAGAAAGTAAAATAGATAAATAAATGCCCTAAAAATTTACAACTTTCCGAGATAGTTCTTGGTTATAAAAAAAGTGGACATAAGTCTAATACAGTTAAAGCACTTGGCTTGTACAAAAACAAATATAGTAAATACACAAAAAAAGCTCTCACTCCAGGCCTATTGCTTTGGCAAAGGCATATCATCAGCACCTGAAATGTTTTTCCCACATGTAGCTCGACTTTTCGTGCTCCTTTCAGATACGATAGCCCTATAGTTTGGACTCTCGTGGTTCTAAATCCGATACCACAAGTGTAATGTGAAATAGATAAACACAAATGAGTTCAAATATGGCAAATCTTTTGGAAAATCGATTTTGAATAAAAAATGCCAAAAATGGACCGCTTTGCCAGATATAGAGTCGCCACCTAAATATATTTGAGAAATTTAGGAAACCCATGACTCGTGCCAAAGGCCACGTGTCCGTCATCACCAAGATTGTCTCGGCTCAGGAACTTAGGTACGAGAGGGAAAGGTTATAAATGAATTGAGCACCCCCGCTCGCCTGATCAAAGATCGACCTCTACTAATCAGGATTTGATTTTTACTTACATTATATACCCTTGTTCCGATTTATTAGGCTAGCATTACTATGTGATGCACACACACACAAGTATAGACTAACTTTGCAAGAATTAGAACATTTCGCGTCATGTTTTGTATGAAAAATTGTTTCGAAATATGTACCACTTGAAAAAGCGATTGCATATAAACATTACTCAAATTATTCTAATCCGAGCAATAAGCCTTCATCCATAGGCATTCAAGTAGTTTATCAATTAAGCAATTAGCCTCATGGAAAGCATGCTAAACATGGCAACAATCACACTCATGCAATATGCTAAAGCAAGTAAAGACTCACCTAGTACTTCAAGCTAAAAAGAAATGAGTTAGAAAAATGCATGGTTCCTATCTATGTGATAAGACTAATGCAACACATGCGATATGCAATTATAAGGCTTGGCTACAAATATGGCATATGAATCAATGAAATAGTATAAGGTCTAAGCACGTATTCAAAGAACTATTTAACTAACAATGCAGTTAGAAAGATGAACCGAGCCTCGGTGCATGCAATACAAATGGATGCAAATATGAAGTATGCTAAACAAAACATTATGTCCCTAAACTAACCATCGTAAGCTAGTAAATAAAAGGGAGAAAGACGTGGGGTTGGAAGACATACACATTATTACATTGCGCTCTCACGAAAGAGAGTCTGAATGAACTAAGCTAATTAACTAACTAATTAAAGCTAAGGTAATTATTACAAAATAAATGAAATTAGCTAGACTACTTAACTAATTATTACAACAAATGAATTAACTATTCTAGCTAACTAATGGATCAAAACAACTAGTTAACTAACTAATTAATTACAACACTTTTTAAGATTAACTAGCTACAACTAATTAATTACAACAAATACTTAAGCTTAAATATTTAATCTAAGTAGGCTCAATATGTGAGGAATGCTCATGCATGTGCTCGGTTTTTGCCCAAAAAGCCATTGTTTTGCTTCCAGAAGGTCTCTGTTGCACAGTAGAATGCTTACACCTTTGTCCACTTCTAGAATAGCTTTGCTTTGCTCAAAGAACACATTGCTGAATTTTGCATCAGTGGCCGGTTGACTAGGAGTGAGGGCCTGCCGGCCACCAGTGATAGCCGGTCAGCCATCAAAGGTGGCCTACCGGCCACTGCTGTACAGTTCACCCTGCTGCAACAGAGAACAAACAGAGCATACATAGGGTATTCTCAAGGGTTTGTTTTCATAACTCACCCCTCATTTTCATGAATAAATCAAAGGGGTAGTAAACTTGGTTCACAAACCTCCAACTCAAGCAATTTCATTGCGTGATGGCTTATGAACCAAAGTGTACAATTTCAATAAATGCAACAAAATAAGTCTCAAACCTCCCACCTGTCAGGAATTGATCAAGGGAAGTGGTGACCTTGGAAACTTGAATCATTTCATCACTAATGAGTATGAAATGCTTCAAACTTCCATGTATTCAACTAATGTCCGATTGAACACAACACTTTTTTATTATCTTGCACCATTTTAGCCTCAATTTTATTGCTTCGTTTTAGATTACCATCCAGTCTTTAATTTATTGAGTCCAATGGTGAGTTTAAGTCCTCTAAATGGAAAGAAGGCTCAAACCAAGTGTTGTCTTAGGCATGAAAGAGACATCATACCGTTGGTAATGAACCCCTTAAGGGGTTAAACCATTAAGCATGACATCTCAATCTCATGCTTAAACAAACAAGTTGTTTGAAACCACTTTCAAAACAAAACAAAAGCCAAGAAAGGAGGGATGTTGCAGAGGTGATTAAGGGTGATCACAAGTATGGAAAGCCATAAATAAATGCAATCAACTCAAAGAAGATGGTGTCTAAGGCCTAGAACACCAAACTCATGAGGACGATTACACTACAAACATGTAAAACAAAGCTCAAATGTAACTATCAACCAAAAACAGTGCTAAAACAGTCTAAAATAAGTCCTAAAACATGATGGATTTAAGGCAACAACAGCTAGATTGATATGCTAAAACATAGCACAAACTAGGTAGTAAGCAAGACACAAGAAGGGAAGGCTAACCCCTCAAATTTGGACTTCAAAACATGATTTTGGCCACTGAAATAACTCTGAAAAATAGTGTTTAAAAGCTCAAAAACAAAAGTTTTTATAGGCCAAAAATAGTTGGAAAATTGTAAGAATAATAGCAAATAAAACAAAGAAACAAGTAAAGCCTTATACCTCTTGAAGAGAAAGACCAATTCTAAGCGACAAATCAAGACAACACACCCTTCAAGAGCTCAAACCAAGCTCAAAAGTACCTCAGCTCAAAGATGAGAAGGTTTGGTTAAGGGTGTATAAGCAAAGGTTAAGGATATGTAGGCTAAACTGTAGAAATTTGGAAGAGAGAGAGAATTGTAGAGAGAGAGGAAAAATTTTTGCTCTAAAATTTTTCTAACCTCAAAACATGAGAGGGAGGCCCTCTATATATAGAAAACATGAATTCCCCTCAAGAACATCCAGCCCCACACATGAGAGCAGATGCAAGCATTTGTGCAAACAGCTAGCACAGTTATCACAAAAT